AGCCTTTTCCTAAAAAGGCATATCCTACAAGGCAGCAGGACATGAAGCAGATTGTACTGGGTTACATGTTACCACTAGCAGGATAAACCTGACCTGACTGCAAAAAAATGGAAATCACAAAATTTTTACTTAAATTGACCTAATTTTTAAGTTTATCTTATTTTAAGGTTATTTAGTATATAGTAGACAGATAGTAAGCTATATAGTATCAATGTATTGGTTATGTACAGTGCTCTCATGCTAAAAAAATAGAAATCACAAAATTTTTACTTAAGTTGACCTAATTTTTAAGTTTATGTTATTTTAAGGTTATTAAAGTCTTACAAAATATTTTACAATAAATAAAATCAAAATTTTCCATTATGTCTTAAGTCCTGCATTTTTTTCCTAAAATCATTCAAAAAATCTTTTTTTTTCGGAAACACAGCAAAAAATTTAAATGTAAAAATAAAGTAAATAAAATAAAAAAAAGGTTTATGAGTTTTAATTGGCTAAACTCTCATTTAGCTGTATCATTACTTACAGGCAGAGAAAATAAAAGGCCAACACAGAGTGCAGATTTGTAATTTAGGAAATCATGGAACATCAAAAACTATTTGATGAAAATGAATTTTTTCCAAAAAAAATCAGCGTTGTTGTAAGATATGTTAGAGCAGATTCAGTTTCAGTTTCCATGCCAAAGCTTCTGTTTCTAACAAACTTAGATCCCTCCACTTAAACTGAAGCTAGGCCAAAAGAAAATTTTGACAAAGCTGTGTTTTGAACATTTTGATTGTAGATGGGATCAACTATTTTGCAAATGGCTAAAAAGGTGATCCTCAAAAGAAAATCTTTTTTTCGAGTCCTCAATAATGGCATAATTTTACAAAAATTTTCAAAATACTTATCTAAATGTTCATGTTGAGAGAATACAAGAACAGGAGCAGATGGACCAGTTACAATCCATTGAGTAGATGGCTCATTTTTTTTCTAACAAAGGCGCTGCAAATGCATCAATGAAGTATGCAATGAATCGTATTGAACATCTCTGCTTTGCAGTTATGCTAATAGAAATTAAAGACTTTCAAAAGACTTGAAAGACTTTCAAAGCTTTTGAAGTAACCATATTTCCGATTGAAATATTGTGTTAAAGTCTGTCAGCATACTTAGAATGTACTCCATGAATGAATGAAATATTTAGAACACTCTGTATTCTTGTAAATCCTTGAGTTCAACCCTACTACTAGAGCTATGGGCAAAATGTCTGTCAGCATACTTAGAATGTACTCCATGAATGAATGAAATGTTTAGAACACTCTGTATTCTTGTAAATCCTTGAGTTTAACCCTACTACTAGAGCTATGGGCAAAATAAATGTACATCTGACAAACTAGATCTTCCAGCTCCTTTGGGAGCTTAAAACAGGCTTTGGAAGAACTCAGGTAAATACTATCAAGGCCGGCGCGATAGAGGGGTGTGGGGGGGTGTGACCCCCTTCCATCAATGATTTTTGGTCGGCAAATTTGACCTTAGTCAGCAAATTTGACCCTTAGCGGGCAAATGTGACCCTTTTTGACTAGTTTGTTGGCAAATGTAGACCCTGTCGATAGGTTAGTCGGTAAAGTCAGTCGACAAATGTCGTTATGGCAGTTGGTAAATTTTAAAAAACGAGGATTTTTTTTTTTTTAGACGGCAAAAGTTGTAATGGCACACACACCCCCACACACACACACGCACAAACACATGACCCCTACTCGCGCCGACCCTGAATACTATGGTAGGAGCATTTCAAAGGTAACAAGTGAGGGGATATTATTTTCAAATGGACAGAGACTGAGTTTTGTGCATCAAAGTTAGTGTTGTATGTATCTGCACAAAATCTAACAAGCTATCCAAGCTGATTCCGTAATTTTGTAAAACTCAAGTATTATAATCTGTCAGTGACTTTGCAGTTTCATCTTAAACCTCCGCTATGAGAAAAAGGACTGACATCGCATACTTTGTTGAAAAGAAACTGACTGCCATGGTCCAATACTGGACTGTTGCAGTCAGTTTGTTTTCAACAAAGTCTATTGTCTTGTCAATAAAGATGTAGCTACAAGTCTTGTAGTAGTAAGATTCCTACAAGGAAATCAAATAGTTAATCAAGGTTATTGAATGCTGCTAAAAAATGTTGAAAAAACATTTTTCTTAAATTCAACAATACTTTGTCTTATAAACCTCCCAATTTTTTGTCTTGACATCATGAAGACACTTGCATGGTCTGCTGATAACACTTTCACCAGGAGTCTGGTACCCCTGGTGAAAGTTTAATGTGGCTTTATCCACAGCCTTTATTGGCCCATGATAAAGCCAAATTGTTCTCTGCAATGAAAATGGCCACTCTAGATTCAAACTTCACCACAGCCCTATCACTGCTGCTTCCTTGATAGTTGGCCATTGCTTTTTGTAACTGGTTATTTTCCGGTAATTTCATCATTATACTTTTACAAATGGCTTATCAGAATGCCTCTCTAAATCTCTTTTACGGTTTGTAAGAGATTAACTACAGGCTTTGCAATAGACTACATTCATTTTTCTTTGTTAGCCACACTTTTAATTTCTTTTCATTCTGTTTAAAAACTTTGAAGGTTTCAAACTTTGGTCTAAAAACTTAATGGTCTAAAAACTTTGAAGGTATTCTATAAAGAACTAATTCAAAATTAAATTTTACTAATATAATTAGTTTAATTACAAAAGTTAAAAGCAGTACTTTAAGATATACTAATGACTTATTTAATTTATCTGTTAACTATAATTATTGAAGCTAAAAAAAAAATTTTTAATGTTTTTTCTGTTACGCACTAAAATCTTGTTGTTATGCAGTGAAAAAAAAGCCAAGTTCTGCAAGTTAATTATTTTTTTAATGTAAAAACAAATAAATAAAAATTTTTATTTTTTTAAAAAATTTAGTCACCCTCAACAGATAATGTTTGAAAATCTGATAATAAATTTATAAAGGGTTTCCGAAAATTAACACAAGATTTCAATTAAATGGAAAACAAAGTTTTTTTATGGATTTGCAAACAGTGATGGATCCAGGATTTTTTGGTGATTGAGATAGCTAAGTTCCAGATATGGAGCAAACTCCAAACATTTATATGTTCATGCTTATGTCAAATGACGAGGCTGCGCAAAAAATTGCAATGATTGGAGGCTGGGAATAAAAAAGCCCTTTGATTTTATCCCCCACCCCCACCCCAAATGTGAGGGACAACAAGTTGATAAAAAATATTTGTACTATTCTCAATTAGACTTATATTCGTCGATAAATTTCAAGTTTCATAGTATTACCTCTCAGTGTTCAAAAATTATGACCATATAAAGTTTAAACCCCCCTCAATTTGATAGGGTTACAAATTTTATATAGTCATAATTTTTGAACGCTGAGAGATAATACTATGAAACTTGAAATTTATTGATGAATGTAAGTCTAATTAAGAATAGTACAAAAAAAAAAATTTATCAACTTGTTGTCCCTAACGTTTGGGTTGGGGTGGAGGGATAACATTAATGGACTTTTTTGTTCCCAGCCTTCCAATCATTGCAATTTTTTGTGCAGACTCATTATTTGACCTAAGTATAAACATACTAATGTTTAGAGTTTGGAAGTTAGCTATCTCAATCACCAAAATATCCTGGAACCATCACTGATTGCAAAGTACATAAGATAGGGTTATTCATGGGATAACACATTGGGATAACAGCAAATACAACTTTGCACTTTTTGTTAAAATTTTTAATGTTCTACATAAATGTGGCTCAATTTTGTTAATTCAATTTCTTTTTGTAATGCAGGGATAGTTGTTGGCTTGTTTACAAAAATAACATCATAAAATAAAATCTAATGGTGTTTAATCACAAAATCTAGGGGGGCAGTTCTGATTACTGAAACAAGAAAGCATGCCAAAATTGCCATGCTTTGGGGTTCTCTGAACCCCGAGTATGACAATTTTGATTAACGAAGGCTTCAATGTGAAAATGTGCTTCGTAGCTTAAGATGATTGAAAATTCCGTCTCTACTTGTTGATGTTCAATAATTAGTTCAATAAACTTTGCACAGTCATTAGGCTTTAGTTGTTGTGTTATTTAAATTAAAGATTTTTTGTAAGAATACACTGTAATGCACTTCTTAAAATATGCAATTCTTATCTACAATGCCAAATTGATATTATGAGGTTTTTACCAACACTCTCACCCACTGCTTTAATATCGACATTTGATATCACTTCACACCTCACCTCACCTTCTGACACTATTTTGTCTAATATTTTCAAACAGTGGCTGCCAAACATTCATTATTTATGAGATATTGTTTAATACTGACAACATGTTGTATTATGTAACACTCTAACCTTTCAGCTTTCAAATTGTTTTTTCTTCAGGTTTACCAACATATATTTGCAAGTTCAAATCTTGCACATATATTTGCAAGTTCAAATCTTGTGTTAAACTTAAATAAAGTCTATTTTAAACATTTAATTTTAATTAAACTATTTGAAGTTAAAGTTTTTAGAGAAAATCAAATGTATTAAAATTAAATTTAAATAACCAGGGATTTTTTTAAGATCTTATAAATTTAAAAAATTCAAAAAAGAAAATAACTTATAAATTGCTAACATAATTTAATTATAAAAATTTAATGAAAAATTACTTTTAAACTAATTTCTCCTTTTAACATAAGGTGTTTAATTGATACAAAATTGTTAAAACTAAAAACCTCATTACTAAAAAAATAATACTTTAATAAAAAATTACAACTTTTAGTGAACTCTTAAAAAAATAAGACGCTGTCAATTTTATTAAATATGTTTTGTTTTTTATCAAGGCCTGGTCATAATGGCAAAAGTATTTTTACTTTTTATTAAAAGTTATTATATTTAAGTAAGAAAATTGATTGTATACATATTTTAAGTTATTTATGTAGTTGTTAATACATATTTTCATATATTATTAAATACATAAAAACTGTTGAACTTTAGACTTGTCTTGCTGTAGACTATATTCTTTGTGTTGGTGGTATACAAGATGATTTAATCAATGCACTCAAGAAAAGTATTTTAAGATTTTATGGTGAAGATCCACAAAAATCAATTGATTATGGAAGAATGATTAACAATCGAAACTTTCAGTAATTATTTAACTTTTTAAATCTTAAACACATTTAATGATATCTGTGGGCAAAATAATGATATAAATATATTTACAAATATAATTATTAGTATAAAATATAATGTAAATAATTATAAATAAGATAAAATGTTAAAAAAATAAGTCCTTTTTTTTTAAAGGAGAGTAATCAAGTTGATAAAAAAATCAAACATTGTACATGGGGGAGATTATGATGAAAAAGATCTCTACATATCACCAACAATATTAAAAAATATATCAGTTGATGATGATATCATGAAAGAAGAGATATTTGGTCCATTACTTCCCATAATTAATGTTGTTGATGTGGAAGAGGCTGTTCAATTTATTAATCTAAGGTAAAAGTAACATAATAAGTATTTAACACTAAAATACAACATAAATAACAGAAATATTTAATTATTTATAATATTTATAATATTTTATTAGATACACCAATTAGTTCAAAGTTTGTTAAATTAAAATAACTTTATCAAAAACAAAATAATGTGCTTAAACTCCTATATTTCTTATAATTATTTTATTTCATATATTTCTTATAATTTTTATATTTCATATATTTCTTATATTCATTTTATTGTACATCAATAAATGCATATATAAAGTTTTTATTTGATTTTAATAAAATCAACAAGCTTAAAATCTATTCCAAATTAAAAGAATAATAATTTTAACATCTCTTATTGAGATATTTTGTTTATTTTGAAAAACTGTATTAGGTCTTATATGTTTATATAAATATAAATATATGAGAGTTAAGAAAATCTTCAATGTATTAATATCTTTGATATTAAGAGTAGGTTAAAAGTATACTTTGTAAACAAATTTTATACATTACTTTTTATAGACTTTTATTATCTAAGATTTAATTATATATCAAAGAGTAGATTTAAGACATTTACATAGTTGTTTTAGGTAATAATAACTTATTAATAATTCATAAACTAAAAAAAAAGAATAACCTTAAAAAACATCATATATTCAGCTAAAATTATACTCATTATATATTCAGCAAAAAAAAATAAATTTAAAGTAATAATAAAAAAAGGAAAGATAGATGCACGATACATTGCATGAAAAAAAAAAGATGTACGTTGCATGAAAACTTCAATATCACTTTTACTATATCTTAGCAGCCGTGTTGCAGTGGTTAGAGTTCTGGCTCAGAACCTAAAGGTTTGTGTTTGGACACCATCTTTAGCCTAATAAGTGAAATTGGTATGGAATGAGGTGTGAACTTCCTGGTTAAATACTCCTTCACAGTGCTCTATGACAGTTTTCTCCTTCACAGTGCTCTATGACAGTTTTTCTTAGAGCACCTTAATAACCTTAATTTTAAAAATATGTATTATGATATGTATATATTTACTATTTAAAATATATTTACTATTCAAAAAATAATATTGTTTAACAATTATTATTTTTAAAAATATAATTTTTTATTTTATATATATCTGAATAAAAAAAGGTTAAATAAAAAAATATGTAATCATTTTTAAAGCAATTTTTAGTAATAATAATTTAGTTTAAGGTTACTTTTTTTATTTGTTTCCTTTAATCTAAACACAGAAGTTTGACTTATTTTAAGTATTCATATCGTCATTGTTAGCATAAAGTTGTTTTTTTACAATAATGTGAACTTTTGTTATCAAGAGATGCTAAGAATAAAATTAAATAACATTTTAGCTAATACTCAAACTCAATGAGCCATAACTTGATGTAGGATATCTCTATAAACAGACAGACATCCAACAGAGCTGCCTTATCTTTATTTGAAATTCTGAATTGGGAGCTTATGAATGATATTTTTAATAAATAAATGGCTCTCGCCATCCACTAAGCTTGGCGCATAGCACCTAGAGGCCGAATTTTAAATTTCTTCTCTGTATCTCTACCAAGAATTGTTATTGAAAGCTCAAATAATTCACGACAGTCATCTCCTAATAAATAATCTCATTTTTAGAACTTTTTTAAAACCTTCAGAACTCCACTGACATGTTGACTACTCAAAAGTAATGGTTTTACTAATAAAATAAATAATTAATAACAAACAAGCGGTACAAGATTTTCTTTTTGCCGTACCGTGCAAGCACAGAAAAGTTTCGCTACAAGTCTGCACAGGTTGTGGTGATCTTAAGTAGGCAAAACTTTATTTTTAAATGCTTTGAGACCATTCAAACGAAATAAGAGGGTATGCATTAAAAAAAACACTTTAATTTTTATGGACACCCTAATGTGTGTGTATATATATATATATATATATATATATATATATATATATATATATATATATATATATATATATATATATATATATATATATATATATATATATATATATATATATATATATATATATATATATATATATATATATATATAAATTAGTAAAAACACTTATCTAGTTTTTATTTTCTTTTACAAGCTGTAGAAGAAAATAAAAATATATTTATATATATTTATATATATGTATATATATATTTATATATATATTTATATATATATATATATATATATATTATATATATATATATATATATATATATATATATATATATATATATATATATATATGTATATATATATATATTTATACATGTATTATATTTTATATATATATATATATATATATATACATGTATATTTATATATAAAATTATCATGATCCATCATCATTATTGTTGTTATCATCATCATCATCATCATCATCATCATCATCATCATCATCATCATCATCATCAAGCTTTAGCCTTCACTTTTTATGCTGTTTCTTTAATATAAAAATTCTCAAGCATATTTTTTCCTTAACTAAACCTTGTTCATACCTTATGTAATGCACTTTCTGCAAGTTTTCTTACTTCTACCTCTACCATGTTCTCCTGAAGCTGCTACCCAAACTACTTTAACCTTATTTGACAAATTTTGTTTGAAACAACATTATTTCTAATTTCTGTCTAAGATAATGGCTCCTTTTCTTGTCTTATTAGAGTCACACCACATATTTATATGATTATCATCTTCTCATTCAACTAATACTTCACCATGCAAATACTAAAATTTAGCATCTAAATAAATAGCAAACATATATGTTTATATCCATATACATCCATATTATGTATGCATAACTATGCCTTCTGCCTAACCTTCTGTATCCAAGCAGGTATGCAAACTTTTATTCCTTCTTTGGTTTTAAATTAATCCTCATGCTTCTCCATGTTTTTTCACTTTCTTGTACAGTTGCTATATTAAACCGTTATCTTTTTTTTTGTTGTCTCTTTTACAAGAACATCTCTATTCAGAACAAGTGTCTTTTTACTATTGCAAAAAGTTATGTAAAAAGGTCCTGTTTGAAAGTAAGATTCACCTGAATGCAAATTTGATCCTGAAATAAACGAATTGCTTTCTGAAGAAATAAATTCAATTCAAAATAATATTAAATTAAGTAAACTATCTAATGAGGTTGACGCTGAGATAGATGATGATGGAGTTGATGATGATGGAGTTGATGATGATGGAGTTGATGATGATGGAGTTGATGATGATGGAGTTGATGATGATGGAGTTGATGATGATGGAGTTGATGATGCTGACAATAATGAATTTGGTGATCATATTATTATTGATCAATTAGAGGTAGAACTAGAAAATTTTCTTGGTTTGCATGCACAAACAAAAAAATTTAATGTTTTTATATGTAATATAATAAGGTTATGCAAACGATGGAAAACTGTTTTGTCATTGCTTTGCTCATTTGCTAAACAGACTCATCAGACAAATAAAATCGCTCGAATTTTTTAAACAAAAAAAAGATTAGAAAACAAAATTTCAAGTCATCAAGATTTTAATGTTGATTTGTTTTTACAAAGCATATCAAAAAATTGTTTTGTAACAGTAAAATGTCCAGTTACTCAAGCCGAGATTGAATTCTATTTATTAATGATGTTCCTAGCATATAGATTTACACTTTTGAATTAGAGAAGTTTCGTACATATGTGGAAATGGCTGCAAAAATAAAATTACTATAAATATTTTAAAAAACCATGCTTTCATCAACAAAACTCATTACCATGCATTTTGTTTTGATAAAAGAGAAGAATTGTTGTATCTTTATAATTCATGTCTTATATTTTACAATATATATTTTTTTTAGGTTATTTAGGTGCTCCCAGAAGTCCTTACAGTGTTATCATGGAGCATCGCGGGAGAACATTTAACTAAAAGTTCCACTTCCTTCCTTACCAATGTTGCTTATTGGGCTAGAGTCGGCGTCGAATCTCAGACCTCTGGGTTCTGAGCCAGAACTCTAACCACTGTAAAGAATAAAAATCCTTTACAGGAAGTGCCCCATTTTGTTCCTTAAACATCAAACTGGTCCCTAATATTATAGAAAAAAAAATTATTCAAAAGTATGTCATGTTGGGTCTTAAATGAAGCAAAATTTTATAAATTTTGGTATTGAGTATTATACCCAAAAAAATGATGAGTTATGTATTAAGCATGATGTGAGTATTATACTCAATGCACAGTACACACAAAAAAGGCGTGTTCTAATGTATGAAACAGGTTAATCCACTGTTAGACATCTAAATTGTTTTTGCTTCTAAATCCTTTAGGCTTCACTTCTAAAATTAATTCTCAATTTTAATCTTCTAGGGCCTGTGGTTCAGACAAAATTTACATCATAGTCTTAAAAAAGTGTTCTCCAGAATTCTCTTTAATTCTTGCTAAACAATATTAAACCAATATTTAAAAATTATTTCTCTAACTGTTCTACCTATTATTTCTAACTATTTTCTATTCTTTCTATTATTTTCTATATATTTTCTATTATTCTTTCTTTTCTATTTCTATTTTCTGTTATTCTTTCTTTTCTATTTCTATTTTCTATTATTCTTTCTTTTTTTTTTTTTCTAATTCTATTTTCTAATATTCTTTCTTTTCTATTTCTATTTTCTATTATTCTTTCTTTTCTATTTCTACTTTCTATTGTTCTTTCTTTTCTATTTCTATTTTCTATTATTCTTTCTTTTTTTTTCTATTTTTATTTTCTATTTTTCTTTCTTTTCTATTTCTATTTTCTATTATTCTTTCTTTTCTATTTCTATTTTCTATTATTCTTTCTTTTTTTTTCTATTTTTATTTTCTATTATTCTTTCTTTTCTATTTCTATTTTCTATTATTCTTTCTTTTCTATTTCTATTTTCTATTATTCTTTCTTTTTTTTTTCTATTTCTATTTTCTATTATTCTTTCTTTTCTATTTCTATTTTCTATTATTCTTTCTTTTCTATTTCTATTTTCTATTATTCTTTCTTTTCTATTTCTATTTTCTATTATTC